GGTTGACACAAAGAAAGTCCTATTACCTCCACTTCACATAAAACTGGGCTTGATGAAGCAGTTTGAAAAGGCCTTAGACAAAGATAGAGATTGTTTCAAGTATCTTTGGGGCAATTCCCAGCTCTTTTAAGTGAAACTTAAAGAAGAGATTTTTTGTTGGGCCTCCGATTAGGAAATTGATTTCATATGAACAGTTCGAAGGGACAGTGAGGAAAGTTGAAAAAGAAGTGTGGATTGCTCTTAAAGATGTTATTGACAAATTTTTAGGAAACAACATGGACTCAAATTAAGAAAATATTGTTATTAACATGCTTAAAATGTTCAAAGAGTCGTAATATGAGCTTGAAAATTCATTTCTTATACTTGTTTATATATTATTTCCTTGAAAATCTCGATGCCATCAATGAGGAACAATGTGAAAGGTTTCATCAAGACATCAGGGAAATGGAGAGGAGGTATCAGGGAAGGTGGAATATCAGCATGATGGCTGATTACTGCTGGTCATTGAAACGAGATGCTCCAGATGCAATAAATAAAAGAAAGACCACAAAACGTATTTTTGAAACTAAAAGACGTAGATTTCACAAAAAAAACAGGATGAATGAGAATGAATGTTCGTTTGACATCAGTGTTCTTCCCTTTTCTTCAGTTTGTTGGTATTTTTGTTAATAAACATAATAATAAACAAATTTTCATTGTGGTAAATGAAATAATAATTTGATCTATGTAAGAATTTTTTCTTCTGATTTGTAAAAAGTCCTTATGTGATAGAAAAATATGATTATTTTTTAAATTTGCATAGCTGAATTATGAAAAATCTGTTATTAAAACCAAAGCAACTTTTATGAAGTTTAAATTTGCAGGCTTGTGTAATGGGATCCCACTTTGTGGTGATTGTTGCCTGGTCAGGTATGCTTTGCCTCAAATTTGTACTTTTTACTGATTGTACTATAGTGCTCACTGTAGTGATGGGGTGTTCTGCAAGACCATTGGTGGCATACCTTGTGGTGTGTATATAATAAATCGGGGTTGTGCTGCTTTTAAAAATAGGGAACCTCTGACACCCATTGCACTTTCTATGGTGTGACATTCCTCCGGACTTCCCACCATGTTTACTTCCCCTCTTTTTTATTTCCAGTGGAGCTTGGGAGTCCTTACCAGTTCCCAGTCACTGGGATGGTGGACAATGGAGGCTTCCTCCTGAGTGAGTTTAGAAATTTAATTTACCACACATACACAAGATTATACATTCAGTGAAAAGAGGGCAAAGCTAGTTTCCCTCTTTCCAGTTATGTGCAGTAGAGGCCCATCTTCTCATTATTTTTGGTTGCAGGATGTTTTTCTCTGCTCCTACGGTGGAGTTTGGGGAACTTTGTCTGCCTTGTAATACCAGCAACAGAACATATATGCACTGTTCCTATAGTTGAACAAATGTTCCATATCTCCCTCATAATTGTGGTTGCAGAATATCTGTTCCCTCCATTTATGGTTTATGATTTTTGCACTGATAACACCAGTTACAGATTTTTCCCTGTTCTTACAATTCAGTTAAGGCAACGCAATGACCCTATAATGCCGGGTTCAGTTTGTTGTACATTTTGCACCTACAGTGCTTTTGGGAGTTTGTCTGGTTTCAGCTGAATGCTCACTTCCTCCTCGTAATTCTGGTTGCTTGATGTGTGACACTTTGTTTACTCACAGTTGGGGTTGGTGAGTACAAGTAACATGATCCATATTCCCTGGCCACTATGTTTATGTTACTCTATATTTGTTTTGATCTTCAACCTCCTAATGCCAAGGATGAGTCATGGAACCTCGTCTGTCCAGTGGTTGGGTAGCTATATTGCTTATTCAGTTTATATTTTACTGCAGATTGCACTTCTCAGACTGAATTTCACATGTGCACATCCTATTTACCTACCCATATCAGAACAATTTCCTCCTTCAAGGGGTGTAGAGCATACCTGTTTCAGATGTAGTACACTACCCCACATGGGGGCTTCGGTCTTGTCTCAGAGCGTACACATCCATTCTGAGTGGTTGCTTTCCATTTATTTTACATTTTGAGTGCCTACACTCACCCCTCCACCTTTGTAATATGTGATTCTAGCTTTGTGTGAGAGGAGGTAAGACCATATCAGAAGTGAACATTTTTCTTACACTGAAAATGTATTTCCAATAGATACTTACCTTCTTTCACACACTTCCAACCCTTCTTCTCTATTGCCAATGTTATTCTTTTAGAGCCTGCTAATTCTTGAAAGTGAGGATTGAGTGGGAATAACATAGGGAGCTAGCTGCACCAATATAGATGGTGCAGTACTATTGGTGGAGAGTAGTCGCGTGATATGTTCATGTTCAAAAATGACAAAATATAGTATATAGACTGGTGTGCTGAGAGCAAAACTTTTTTAGATATGCTTAGAGGACAAAAAGAAGATTGAGAACTTTGCATGAAAGGGGGTAAGCACCTATTGGAAATACGTATTCAGTGTAAGAAAAATGTTAACTTTTGGGTTTTATGGATTATCTTGAACAC